TTTGATATGGGGTTTTTGTTGATTAAGCAAATGATATGAATGATTGGGGTGTTGGTTTCAATTTCTAAATCTGAAAATGGGATTAGGTTTAAGAGAGAGGAGGTTGGGAAATGGTTTGCTTATTTGTCACAACTTTAACTAACCTTGGGATGGCCCTCATCTCCTCCAACTCTCAATTTTTTATTTTCTAAAAATTACCAACCCCTTCCCTTTCTTTGTATTATATAATTTTATTCTAAAAAACTAAACTTAATTTATATAAACCTTTCTTATTAGGCTGATTTAAGCGCCGGTTCAACTCACTAAGACACATGCATTTGATTAAAATATGGGAGATTCAAATCTCTATCTTCACATATTATTGAAATGAAAAACAAAATAATAGACCTAATGGACTACCCTTTTTTCTTATCGCAAATTAAACTTTTGAAAAAAAATATATTCTTTGGTCTCTTGGACGTTAAAAAGGCTAAATTATAAATTTGGTCCATAGACTTTCAAAGTTATTTGTAGTCCATGTATTTTTAATTTTTTTTTTAATAATATAGTTGCATCCCTTTCATTTTTCATACTTTAAAAGGTTTGAATGCATAGCTGTTCCAATTATTAACCTCCAGTAATTGGTATATACCTCCAACTAGTAGGTTATGAGTTCGAATCCCCTCTCCAACATGTTGTACTAGAAAAAAAGTTTTAAGGTTGGGTTCGATCTCCTATCCCACACATTGTATTAAATAAATAAAAAAAAATTTATAATATTAGAGCAAACATTAATATTAGAGACTTCTTTATTTGATCATGAATACCTACCTACAACTTTGATTGATTTCAGTTTTGGGTTCGAAAAAGTTATTAGTCGCAGATTAGTGCGCTTGAAGAACCTATTGGAAACTTCTTTTAGTAACATTCCAATTATGTTATTAGAAATTAGAAACTTAAAATTTTAGGGAGAAATGGTGAGATGGATTGGAATTGGGAAGGGATAAGATATGTGAAGGAAAAACAAAAACCCACTTTACGATTGCAATAGCCAACATCAATCTTTCTTCTCTTCATCTTGTCTCTTACCATGAACGCCGATTCCAGTTCGCCATGGAACTGGAAGGGAATTTCAAACAATTTTCAGAGGAAGGACCAAAACAAATTCTCTCTCCCCAACATTTTCGACGCCAATCGCCGGAAGCCCAACGAACCAATACTAGTCTTAGAGGCCGGCGGAGGAGCGGGGGTAGGCTGCGGCGTCGGGCTTGGTTTCGGTCTGGTCGGCGCCGGCGGGATTGGCCTCGGCGGCAACCTTCACCTGGTCTTCGGGCTCGGTCTCGGCTGCGGCGTCGGGCTAGGGCTTGGAATCGGCCAAGGGATTGGCTACGGCTTTAGCTTCGAATCTTTACATTCTTATTTCTCGGATGATAACTCTGATTCCAAACATAGGCCTCTCATTCAGGTTTGAAATTCTTGGCCGATTCTTTACAATTGTATTTGTTGCAATGGAAAAGGATTTAATGTTTTCTAAATTTGTAGGCTCTGTAGAATACTTCTAAAGATTCTTATTGGTTAAATTTACCTGCTAAATCATTTCAATTTAGTCTCTATTGTTTGATTACATCCGTCCCACAAGCTGTACATATCAAGAACACTATCATATTGAATATATGCATGTTGACAATCAGCTGGGATAGTAGTTTAATGTATTAATGTTTAATATCGAGTAGAATAATAGAAGAAAACTAACCATTTTTATAATTGCGTAAAAAAAAGTAGTTTAGGGACCATTTGATTTTTAATCAATTCGGTAGTCAATTCAATTACCTAAAAAAAAAAGGATCAGTTTAGCATTAGCTTGGTCAAAAATCGAGCCAAAACGACCCGTTTACAGCATTAAGGCGAACCATAGCATAAAATTAAACCAAAGAAAAAGCTTCTGTACAAAAGAACCATACCATATAATATTATAATTAGCCTATGAATCAAAAACAAACCAATGTTAGTAGAGTATAGAGCCTCCAAAGCAACATATTGTCAAGCAGTTACTTCCTCTCAGTTTCAGTTTCCTCCATCGTTGAACGAGAATTAGTATCAGTGGACAGTCCTATAAATCTGCCGTTGCTTCGTCGGTCATCCTCGTCGTTCTCAGTCTGCCTTTCAACGTCCTGTTCATTGCGCACATTTGCAGCATTCGCTGGCTGGGGCGGTGGATTAGCAAGCGACTCCAACACCCTGAAGTATGCATATGGTCCCCAGCCTACAAGCCAGAATCATATGAATCCTTAGTATCAAAGTTCTGTTTTCGACAAAGAAAGAATGGATAATAACTGTACCTTGAGAGTGGTATGGAGGTGGAAAGAACTGCAAGTAGCAGAAGGTAGACACTACAAGCCCTGCAAAAGTAGAGCTCTTTATAACCATTGATTTGTTATGTACAAGATGCGATCGCAAAGAGGCAACGAAGGAAAATTCACATACCGAGCAGACCTCCGGCAAACACATCCTGCCAATGGTGCCAGTAATCGTCCACCCGAGAAACGCCCACGAGAGCTGCAAAAAGCAAGGGAAGGAAAACAATGCAGAGTTTTGCAATGTGGCCCCGCTGGTCGAATACTTGTATTTTTCCAGACAAGTACAATGATAGGAAACCGAGACCAGCAAATGACCCTACATCAGGTCGAAGATTTGCAAAAAGGTTAGATACCACATCCCGATATTAAAAATCATGTTGCCATTGTATCTTGCTAGGGATGCTTAAGTTGAGTTTTGCAGCTTACATGAAGTATGCCCACTCGGAAAGCTCTTATGCCCTTCCTTGATAACACTGGCATCACCATGACATATAACATCGCCTAATGCATCATAAACCTAAGAGACAAGGAAATCAATATTTAACACCAAGCCAAGCAAGTTATATCTAAACAGAAGAAAAATGCCAAATCTCGTTTTAAGAAACATACGTCTTTCCCATCAGGAAAACAACGCCAAAAGAAGTTCGGTCGAGGTCGTCCAACCGCAACTTTTATTGCATCGGTAATGACTCCTGTTATTAAGAGGGAGTAAAGGAGGCCTACAGGATATTCCAATTCACATCAGCCATCAACCAGTTGCATATAAGTATCACTAAATTTGATGAAGTATCTCACCTAGTATGGCATGATGAAGATCATAGACGTCCCTTCTACGCCAATATATGAACAGAAAGATTACTATTGGTAGCAGCCCTGCGTAAATCTAAAAGAAAAAATTATACATTCACATTAGTTTCCATTCTAGCTTATATCAAAAAGTTTTCATAGACACAAGCAAACTTACGGGTACAGCCCAAATAGGAACAGTATTTTCTTTAAAGGGAAATCTGAGATCGGTCATCATGTCCTTCCCAACAAAGCGATAAAATGGATGGATCGTATTTAGGATGATCTCAGTCAGCACAAGAAGAAGAACTATACACCAATCATGCATGTGTATCCTTGCGACAGCGACTCCATGAGATCTTAGAGTGTGAGAACCAAGCTGCACTTCTCTCATTCTGCTGTCCTGCGCAAGAACAAACAAACACGGATAATGATGAAACTAGAACGAAAAATTCATGTTGTAAAATGTTAGAAAGTTCATATAGGACCTTGTCTGAAAACAGCAAAGAATAACAAATTTATCCTTCCTATTATCTAACTCTTCCTAAAAGTTATGTACTATAGAACTATTAGGATCATCCCTTCTCGAGCGAAAAGCAGACCGAATATAGTACAAGAAAAGATGGAGTGTTACAACACAGTTTGATCTCAAAACTCAAGGATACAACAAATTATAGATGAACGTCCTATAGCAGGTGCAGAGCGAAGAAGGAAATAGAGGGCAACCCCCTCGGTTCATCTTAGATTAAGAAAATTATATAAACACATAACGGTTTCGAAGTTCTCTCTAGTTTTCCCCCCCTAAAACTAGGAATGCCCAAGTCATCAGCTTGCCGAACCGACCCCATGGCGTGATCAACATAGAACGTTGTAAATAACACAACTTCAATGGAAAAAGAAGAAACTAAGAATAATGATTTAAAATTCTGTAGTCCCTCTACAGTCATAAATTATCCCAAAAAAAGGTGTACAATAGACTTTTCATGAATAAGAAAAGCTATACAAGAGAGCCAGGGAGGAAATGAGGAATTTACCTCAAATAAAAGGAGAATACAAGGGCAAAAGATAGGAGAAAGGCTACTTCATGCAAAGAAACAAAAGAAAAAAGGAGCCCAGAATCGGACTTTACAAGGCTAGAGAAAAGGCTATGCTCATTCATTAGAAAAACAAAGCATAAAAAATGATACCTTTTGATCCTCTTGATTCTGGTGATCTATCAATGGGAAATTAATGGGTAGAAGGCAATCGCTAGTTACGGAAGAAAGCTGTGGCCCCGTTTGAGATACAACCTAAATAACCCGAAGAAAACCTTCAGGGGAAAAGTATATGTAAGAACTCCAAAATACCTACTTCAACTCAAGGATGAAAATTTTATCTTCAAACATTTGCCTAGAGAGATCTTAAGAAGTCTCTAAAAAGAGAAAAGTTATTCAAAGTGGCTGCCTTGTAATAACCATTGGATTCGAGTTTAAAATTTGTTTTCTCCTAATAACCATTCGATACATATTTGAAATATCGTTTTTAAATTCTCTCGTATATCCAACAGTATTAAGTCAACCAACAACATTGTTTCGCCCAAATAATTTCTCGCCGTACATTAACAATGCCTCTCCCCGAACGATTATACTTGTTCGTACAGTTATCCAGCAGAAAGAAAAGCTAAACCAGTACAAAGGCATCTGCGAAATGAATGGGATTATGAAAACAAGATTCTGCAGCCCCCTACAGTTCTTTCAGACGTTTATTCAAACAGTAGCTCTCCTTGTGAACAAAACCCATTTTTCCCAAAACCATTCAAGAAAAGATCACCCAAGCTATGTCCAAAAAAGAGCAAATTTTATTGCCAACTCTAATCAATTGGAGAACTCATAATTGAAAAGCCTGGTTAACAAAATAACTACCGAGCAGTTTTCATTGAAAAGAAAAGAAATGAAAAAATATGAAACTTCGATAGATCCATGATCCGTCTCTACAATCTGAAACTAACACTTCAAATTGACCTTACGCAGGCACATGAAAACAGCCAAATAACGGGCCAATCATTCACAGAGTTCAAGCAATTTGAATTTCCTTTTGCAATTGCAACTGGGAAACCAGATTAGAAGAAACCCACTAACCTGAAAGGCGACGCCGAAAATCCTAAAACAAGAAAGAGATCCAACATTCCTCCAAGGCATTATTACATCAACAACCAAAAGCAGGGGAAAAAAGCCAAAATGAGAGAGCTCTGTTAGAAGATCATACAAAGCAGAGCAAAGATATGTATACCAGGGGAAGAAGCCTCGTCTTATGAGGGTCAAAGGCCTCGAAAAATATCCAGAAGATTAAAAAAAACGACGAAGAAAGCCGCTGGCCCCTCGAAAGACGACAACCCGCTGAAAAGTAAACGACGAAGTGAATATGCAAAATATTCCGAAAAGCCAAATAAATAAAAATGTGGGTTGCAGCAAAAACTGACACCGGCGTCTCAAAAGTTTTTGATATTTCTGTGCAGGGTTGGATCTGGTGGGGAGGGGGAGAGATTTTGTGGCATTTTTCTGGCCTGTCTCCTCCTCCCAGTAACTAATACCGAAACTGCTCCAAGTTTTTGATGGGACATACAGCATTCCTGCAATTATTATTGTGGAGACAGCCACCATGTGGCAAACTGTGATTGGGTCAGTGGATTTTTCCCCCTTTTTTTGGTATTACTTTTCAATGAGCAACTTTGGAAACAGAAATGAAGGATGAAAAAAGTAGTCTTTTTTGAAACCCAATTTCCATCTCTGCCCACATTTCTCCCTCTCCGATGGAGGCCCTCAAATGTAGGTAACTGTATTACTTTACTTGCTGGCAATGAAATTAAACCTTGGAATCCAGTGGTGGCGGTGAATGAAATGGAAAGAACAATGAGCTGAGAATATTAACCACTATGAATTTTAGGATTATGAATATACCCAGTGTTGATTAAAAGAAAAAAAAAAAATTAGTGCGACCGCATGGTGAGAATTCAAATTTCAAACTCACGACATTTTGAATATGGGTAAAAAATGTGCAAAATTTTGGACTAATAGAAAATGTGTAATCAGTAGACATACAAATTCACACGTTGAGCTTGCATAATTTAACTATATAATATTATGTTACTTATGAAATATATATCATTTTATCACGTATTTATCTGAACAATCCAAACATATATTATATTAGAAATTTAAAAATGGAGGACATATTAAATAACAGCCTATTTAACAAAATTATTCAAAGTCTTTTTTCCTTTGGGGAGGATTAACTCAGGACCTGAGATATATGCTTTTTTTTTTATAACTTATTTGAGTCCTTGGTAAAGCAAAAAAGAAAAATCATTGATTACATGTCGGGGAAGAAGAATCCCAATTTCCAGTCCTCCATTCCCATTTCTACTCTCTGCCATGGAAAAAGTTCCAGCGGGCGTAATCGAAGTCATCTCCACTTTCTTACACCTTCCCCATCCAAAATCAGTCTCGTAAACTCCAAATCTCGGCGAACCGGCCGCCACTATGGTTCGAGAAACCGGCATTTCCTTCCTCCACCGCGCCCGCAACTCGTCCACCCTTTCAGCAGCTCTGCTCTCCTCCGCGGTCACCTCTGCAATTGCATCACTGATCTTGTTCGGAATGATTCACATGGCGTTTTCTTCCTCAAATTCTCTCGCTTCCATTAACCCATACCCACACACTCCGTTCCCGAAATAATTCGGCCCCRCCGGAGCCCCCGCGCGCAGCCGCCAATCCACTGGGAAGATCAATCCGATCTTACTTTTCGGTTCTAATCGCTCCGCCTTGATCCGGCAGATTGAGACGTGGGCCGGCATTAGCGCAAACGTCGTAAGATGGCGCCGCGTAGATGAATTTGAATTCGTCGCTTTTCTCCTCAGATTCTCCACGCCGGATCTGGTGACGTGAAACGTGCCGGTGACCAAGTCGTCGGAGATGGCCACTTTTGGGGTAAGTCTCAACTTTCTGCTGCCCGTGCCCGACGACAACGTCAACATTCCAAGTAACTTCTGGTACAGCGTTTGCCATCCGGATCTTACTTTCACTAACTACACTTTTAGCTTAGCTCACGAGTTAGACTTTGTAATTCAGAGTTTACAATGTTTGATATGTTTTGGTCATTATAAATATAGGCTCCTCATTTTCTTTATTTCTTTCGTTTTCCATTTTATTTCTTACCTTGTCTACTTTTTACTGTTATTATTCTTTTTTTTTTAGCTTGTATTTACTACACTCTAGTTTTACCTTGCAATACACAGAAAAGGAGAGAATTCTCCCTCCACATGAATAATAATTATCATAAGTTACAGATTCATTAAACCCACTGTCCATCTATCTGTAAGCTCATGTTTTTTAATACTAACTTTTACAAATCACAAATCCACCCGATTATACCAACCTAAAATTCTATGACATTTTTTTTCCCTGCATAATCCAAATTCAAATGTCTCACCTCCAACCTTTATAAACCTTATCTCAACTCACAACCTCCTGTGATAAAGCTTTACAAACTTTATCTCAACTCACCTCGACATATCATATTCAAAAAACAAAACAAAACAAAAAATTATCTCAAAAAAGAAAAGAAAAAGAATTTCATAAACCTGGGACATAAAATCATTCTTTTTTAGTGATTATCTGTCATTAACACAACATGCTATTGTTTCTATTAGAGATCTAAAAACGAGAAACAGCGACATAAAACAGGACTGTTGGATCTCCGTGTTTTTGGATTAATTAAGGGTAAATTTAAAGGATAAGTGCATAACTAGTCCATTTGAGTTTCAAATTATAAAAATGACTTAATTAACTATCGAGAGTTTACACTATTATCTAAATATCGGCCTATAATTGAGGGAATCCATTAAAAAATTATCAATTTATCATTTGAAATATAAGTTTAATAAAAACATAAACGCAAAATCCAGAAATTGAAAAATATATTTATATTTGGCTTCATTCAAATCCCTTAAATTTTGCCTCTATATTTTCCCCTAAAATCTTGACTCCCAATTTCCAATTCGACCTCCTCCCTTCAAGGGACGATGACAAATGCTTTCCAATGACAATTGATGTATTTCTCGCCGACGGTTTCTAAACATGTGCACAATCAAAACAACAATCGACACTCAGAACATCTGCCAACGTCGCCGCCGTTAAAAACCTCTAAGGTACAAATCTAGCAAGGGATGTCACTGAAGCAAGGGAGTCACACTGTCGTGGAGGAATGTCGTCATTGCTACTATTCGAATATGGGAACACATCACCAGCTGCTGCATATAGTCATTTGTGGCGGTTTGTGCTGTCAAGGGTTTGTCGTTGCTTGGGGTGTTGTCGGAAAAAGAGGGAGTTGGGGGTGGCTACTTTCAAAAGAGAGAAAAAAACTTTCAAATAAGAAAATAGATGACGCCACTCTGGAGAAAACTGTTATACCGGTATATATTATTATATAACATATTGGAGGTATATTTATCATAAAAAAATATACATATATTATATAACCTTCTAATTTAGTATATATAACATTCTAATTTAATATATAACAATAAATAGTATATATTATATAACTTTTCGAAGATTATACCTTTATCATATTGTATATTGAAATATTAAAATGAAAAATAATGTATTATAAAATGATCATTTGAATATATAATATAATCTTAGATATTTTATAATCTTTCAAAGGCATACATGTTTATTATACCATTGAAAAGGGTGAGGTACCAAAAAAATGACTGAAAAAATTATGAAGAAGAAGAAAATTAAAACATAGAAATAATATTTTGGAGATGTATATGTTTATCCTCGAATAAAACATCTAAATATATAGATATACATAATCTCATTGATGGGAAAAAATTGGGGGAAATGGAATGGAGCCCACGTGAGAATTAATTTAAAATTTTTGAATTATTAAAAAAGAGAAAAGAAGAATTTTGTTATAATTAGACAGATACATAGAATCTTATTGATAAGAGAAAATTGGTAGAATGGAATGGAGCCCACGTGAGAATTAATATAAAAATTTTGAATGGAATGCAGTGGAATCCAAATTTGAAAGCTTTTGAAATCTAATCAAATCTAATTATTAAAATAAAATATAAATTACATCAAATTAATTCTAGGACAAATTTGAAATAAACAAAAAAAAAAAATTCAAATCTCGAAATCTAAATATGAAAAGAAAATCTATATTATAATTTCTAATATGACCATCAAAAATGTCAGCGGTAATTCACAAAATTCTAATATGTAGATGGGTATAAGTTTCTTCATGAAATCATTTTTGTTACTATCAAAATTACTTTCCTTTCCATTCATCATAAATTAAAAAAAAAAATGATTTTAGAAAAACTAAATTCATTTGTAAAATAATTTTGAAAATTGAATTGTATTCCAATCATTCTACGAAATTTATACCGTACCATATAATCACTTTTAGGGATCATAAACTCACACAAACTCATGAATTCATCTGAACAATCCAAACATATACTTTTACAAATCACAAACTCAAATTTGTAAGTATTCATTTCATTTCAACAATCCAAAGATAGATTAGAAGCGGAGGACATATTAGCCTAATTAACCAAATCATTCGAGTCCTTGGTAAAACAAAGAAGAAAAATCATTGATTGCATGTTGGGGAAGAAGAATCCCAATTTCCAGTCCTCCATTCCCATTTCTACTCTCCACCATCGAAAGAGTTCCGTCCGGCGTAATCGAACTCATCTCCACTCTCTTACACCTTCCCCACCCGAAATCAGTCTCGTAAACTCCAAATCTCGGCGATCCGGCCGCCATTATTGTTCGACAAAACGGCATTTCCTTCATCAACCGCGCCGCTAACTCTACCACCATTTCATCAGCTCTGTTCTTCTCCTCCGTCACCTCTGCAATTGCGTCACTGATCTTGCTTTGAATGATTTCCATTGCGTTCTCTTCCTCAAAC